TTGTTTGGGCAATGGGGAAGTACACTGCCTTTTGCCATTACTCTGGCAAGTGCTGGAGAGTTGTCCTTTGAATCCTATCGGGCCTTGGGTGCTTTTCAAGTAGTTCAGCATCTATGAAATAAGGGAAGCACTTCCTTCCTCTTAGGCAAGAGCTCCTAGTATAATCGCCCTGATTCCTACTCTCCCACTGCCTATGTAGATGGCAAAATTGAAAACCCTGTAACCAGCGTACAATGGAAACGGTTAGAGAAGGACAACTCCAATAGTTTCCACGAACATCAGCCATATAAATGTTGTAAGACACAGCACCGTCAAAGGTGAACAACTTGCAAGACCCCAAGAAACCAGGCAGCCCCACCAAGGTCCAACACTCAAAGGCTTCCCTGAACTTCCAGCGCGGCCGCAGGGCAAGGTGACGGGGCAATTCCAGTGCCGGGTGTGAACTGCGAGAAGAGAGTTCTCGTGGTTGTTAGGTGCGGCCAAGCTGGTTCTAACTCATTGCAGCCGACCCCGTGTGGGACAGAACGAAATACCGCCTGGTCCTGCACCATCGGCACAACTGCTCTATGTCTGAGCCCATTAGTGAAAGCCCCTTAAAATTCCTCTAGTCACACTCCAATGTTCCAGGAAAAAATTTAGAAAATATATACTGAATGTCAACCCCCCACCCACTCTGTTACTTTTTGATAGAGAAGATATGGCGGTTCCAAAGACATAAATGAATTTTTACCTGCGATCCTTCAATTTCACGGTGGAAAGCATCTGTGGTTTCTTTGACTAAAGCAGTTAATGCATCATATTCTGGTGATGAACAATTCACTTCTTGCTCTATGTCTATGTTAATTCCATCCATATATTGTTTTTTGGCCAAATCCAGTTGTTGAGCTATCCAAGATGCTCTAAAAGTAGGGTCAGTGATGTCCTTTACAGACACATCTCCTGGGGGTGGGGGGTGGGGGAGAGGAATATATCTTCTGTGCAAATATGTATTTCACAGTTGAAAAGAATTTACCAAATCCATTTCACAGAGATTGAAATGTCTTTAAAATATCACACTGAAACACTAAACTGCCAATTTAACTTCTAACTGGAGAAATAATATAGCAAAAAAGTAGATAAGTATTACTCAGACTCTCCAATCTGACAGTATGCATCAGTTAATAAAATTATTCACAATTAGTAGCAGAACTTGTGCTACAACTAAGGATTATCATGGTAACTACCCTGTTTCCCTGAAAATCAGGCAGTGTCTTATATTAATTTTTGCTCCCAAAGATGTGCTAGGTCTTATTTTCAGGGGATGTCTTATTTTTCCATGAAGAAGAATACAGTACACATTTATTGTGTTTTATTAAAAGAGACCTCGCACTTCCTATCTGCTCCGGCTGTGCTGTGGCCAACAGTGAGCTGTGCGGCTATGGTCCAGAGTCCCGAGTTATGGTAGCTTCGGGGGGCCTTATTTTGGGGGAGGTCTTATTTTTGGGGGGATGCCTTTTATTTCACCGAGAGGCAAAACTGTAAGTAGGTCTTATTTTCAGGGAAACAAGGTAGGCATTCACATTTTGCTCAAAACCATACATTGGTTTAGCTAACTCTTTAAAAATTATATTTATAAAATGAATTATTATATTTATAAAATGAATTAAAAGTGCCTAAGACTAATTTTAAGGTGCTAAAAAATGCCATATAAACATAAAGACTTTTTCCAAAAGTCAGCACTAGTGAGAAGTATATAGGTAACATCAAAGCCCACTGCCATGGTGTCGATGCTGACTCATAGCAACCCTATAGGACAGAGAAAACTGCCCCTTAGAGTTTCCAAGGCTGGACCTCCTTCTAGAAGCAGATGGCCTTACTGTTTTCCCATGGAGCAGCTGGTGACTTTGAACTACTGATCTTTCAGTTAGCAGTCCTATGCTTAACGCACTATAATCACCAAGGCTCCTCCAGGGAACACTACCACTGGCAGGTGTAAATTTACCACATTTACAAACATCTAGTGAAAACTGTCACTTACCTTTTAGCACCACCCTGGCTCCATTTGAATGAGCATAGCACATAAGCTCTGAGTCATATTTTCCAAAAGTCGCCACGGTTGTAATCTGTGACCAATCGTAAGATTTCCAAGTTTTTTGACCAACATCAAACACAAAGACCTGCCAGAACAACCAGGAGAGTTAGGTAAATAAACCAGTGTATGGTTTTAAGCAAAATGTGAATGCTTAATTACCACGTAAGCCAAGAATTGTATGGTGATCATCGGAAAGACACGAAGACACTGCACATATCCCAGACACTCTAGTGGGTATGGAGAGTGCATCCTTGAACAAGGCACACCGAGAACCTGCTCCGTTGGGACCTCTTGCCTAGGATGGTAAAGAAAATAGATCGCCCATCTCTCTTCCACAGAGCTGCAGGGTATACAACGTCAACCTTTGTGTTAGCAGCCGGCGCTTAACGCTGTGCCAGTAGAGCTCCCATGTTTGTACATGTTGCTGTTCGGTGCTATTGATTTGGTCCCAACTCATGGCAACACTATGTCCAACACTGGACAATGTCATCTTTACAAGCATCGCTCTGCCTGAGCCCAAGCTTGTGATCACTGCCTCAGCCCGTCTTATGGAGGGCCTTCCTTGAGGTGTAATCCATAGTGAAGGCTGTAGTTTTTATCTTCCTCCCTCAATAGGTGCTCCAAGTTCCTTGTTTCCAGCATGCAAAGTTGTATGATCTGCATATTGAAAGTTAAGAATAGAGTTTCCTCCAACTCTGATGCCTCATTTTTTTCATACAGCCCAGTTTCTTGGATTATTTGCTCAGAATACACATGGAACTAAGTATAGTGAAAGGAGACCACCTTTCTTGGTTTAAAACTAAACAGTATCCCCTTATTCTGCTCAAATGACTCCACGTGAGCGTGACGAAGTGGTCTGGGCTCGCATTGCCTTAGCAATGTTATCTACAATTAGTTACCATCAAAACAGCCTTTGTACCAACCGACCTGTGATTTATATCTATCTAATCTCCAGGCTCAAAGTTAATCATCTGCTAGATTAAGAATTTGGAACGATTCCTGTCTCTACAAAACATTAGTTCTCTGGACTACCCTTTCCCGTCTCCCTGACAGGGTCTAACTTCTGCCAACTCTCAGTAGTCAGGTGGTTTTAGTCTTAATGTTATCTCCATCAAGGTGTTTGGTAAAGTGGGAAAAGGTTTTATAATGGTTAGATAAGTCGAGGACATTTTATTGAAAGGCCTGTTTTTAATCTCCCTTCTTGGATATCCTGAGGAAAGAAGAGAGGAAGACCTGGAGGTCAAGTTTAAACCCTTCGCAGCTAACTGAAAGATCGATGATTTAAATGCACCAGCCAATCCGCAGAAGAAGAGATGTGGCGGTCTGTTTCCATAAACACTGTACTTTTGGAAATCCTAGTGGGCATTGCACCTGTCCTCTAAGGTGACTATGAGTCAGTCTCAGCTTGAAGGTAGCTGGTTTGGGTGCAGAAAGGCTGGTAAAGAAAACATGGAGAAAATGTTGAGTAGGAATAGCCTCACATCTTGATCATTTTGCCAAAGAGGGATTTTGTAACAATCCTTTTATGTTTACTGTTATATATTTAGATTAAAGCAATCAATGTCTTTCAACCTGCAAAAAAAAGAAATAGAAAACGAAAACATTCCACCCTCTACCACACTGTTTGGGATTGCTAAAATCCCTCCAACTAAATCTCATTCCCTCAGAAACCAAGAAATGGGAGCAGGGAGCCATGGTGGTACGGTGGATGAGTGGCCGATCACTAACAGAAACGTCACCTGTACGTCGCCAGCTGCTCTGCGGGAGAGAGTGCCAGCAGTCCACAGTCTGCTTCCACGAAGATTTATAGCCGTGGAAACCAGTGGGACAGGTCTGCTCAATCTTATACGGTCACCCTGAGTCAGAATTTGACTTGATAGCAGTGGGATTTTTGTGTTTGATCGGTTGTGTTTTTGTTTTGTTTTATTTTAAATTTTGTTGTTAGGTGCTGTCAGGTCATTTCCCACTCACGGTGATGCCACTTTGTACAGCAAAGCAAACCACTGCCTGGTCCTGCACCAGCCACACAATTGCTTTAGCGCTTGAGCCCATGGTACCGACACTGTCAATCACCTTGTGGACGAGCTTCCTTTTGCCCACGGCCCTTTCACTTTTGGCAGATCATGGTACAGTTCAAGATTCTTGACCAGCACAATAATTCAAACGCATCGATTATTCTTGGGTCTTCCTTTCACGTGCATCTGAATGACTGAAAATACCACGGATGGCTGGGGTCAGAGGCACCTTAATTCTCAAGGTAACATCCTTGCTTTGCAAGGTCTTGAAAGAGGTCTTGCGCAGCCAATGTACCCGGTGCAATGAGTAATTTGATCTCCCAACTGCTGCTTCCGTGAGAATTGACTGTATCCAAGTAAGATTAAATCCTTGACAACTTCAATGTTTTCTCCATTTATCATAGTGTTACCTCCTGGTCCAGTTGTGAGGATTTGGGTTTTCTTTACATTGAGTATCAATCCATGCTGAAGGCTGCCATCTCGATCTTCATCAGCAAGTGCTTCAGGTCCTCCTCACTTTCAGCTAGCAAGGTTGGGTCACCTGCATACCACAGGTTGTTAATAAGTCTTCCTCCAATTCTTCTTACTATAATCCAGCTTCTCTGATTAGTTGCTCAGCATACAGATTGAATAAGTAGAATGAAAGGATACAATCGTGATGCACACCTTTCCTGATTTTAAAGCATGCAGTATTCCCGTGTTCGGGTCCAAGGACTGCCTCCTGAATCCATTACAGCCTCCTGGTGAGCACACTGGACTCTTCTGGAGTTCCTATCCTTCTCAAGTTTACCCATGCTTTATCACCGGCCGCACAGTGGGATGCCTTTGGACAGTCAGTGAAACACAAGTAAACATCCTGCTATGCTCTGCTTTCAGCTAAGGTCTAGCTACCATCACCACCGATAGCCTTTGATCCAAGTCCTCTTCTGGATCTGGCCGGAACCTCTCCTGGCTCCCTGTCAATCACTGTACCGCTCCAACTGTGGTTGGTTGATCTGCAAAATTTACTTGCATGTGATATGATAGCGTCTATGATTTGTGGATTCTCTTGGGTCTCCTTTCTTTGGAATGGGTACAAATATGGATCTCCTCCAGAGAGTTGGCCAGGTACTGCCTTCCAAATTTCCTGGCAAAGACAAGTCAGGGCTTCCAGTGCTATCTTAAATTTAGGGAACACCTAAATCACTCTGTGTTTGTTGCTTGGACAGCCAGAAGCACCAGAAATGGTAAAGAGGCTGCCTTTGAAAATCAGATCTGGGTTTTACTCTTTTCTGCAGTTTCTTGGGCGTTACTGACTGAGTTTCTCAACCACTCAGGGCCCGTTTCCTCCTTTCAAGCGAAGGCAGCCAGGAAACAGAAACTCCCTCCCCGCGGGATGAAAACCGGTCTGGACACGCACATCACCTCCACTACAGTCCTCCTGGGGTCTTGGGGCGCACATCAGGAAACAACCAAAGGGGCTCACCTCGTAGTCTGCGTGGTGGCGGACCGGTTGGCACAGCGCTGGGTGCTCGCACGGGCAGTCGGCCCGGGCCGCGAGGGGCAGCGCCAGTAGCAGGAGAGCGAGCCCCGGGAGCGGGCGGCGCGCGGGGGCTGCCAGGCGTGGGGCCCGGCGGGCCATCGCGACGTGCCGGCGGGTCGCGGTCCCTGGCGGACTGCCGGGCGTGCCAGCTCCCGCGGCCGGGCGGGGTGCCACCCCGGGGCGCGGCCTGGGCGGGGGAGGCGCGGGGCAGTCGCCTGGGTTCAGAGTGTAAAGGAGAAGGAAGTGCAGGAAGAGGCGCATCCTGAAAGGGCCCGTGCCCCCTCCCCGTGGGCCCTCCGGCCGAGCACCTCTCTTTGGATCTGTCCGGTGTTTGCCTTCTCGGGTGGAGTCTGGAAGTCGAGCAAACTCGCCGCGGCTGTAACTATTATCTTGTCATTGCGTTTGCCCAAGAACGGGTTGAAGGTCCTACTAGATGGTGCCCTATAGACTTGCTGTGAGTCAGAATCAACTTGACCGCAGCGAGTTTGGAGTAGATGGTTCAGGCATCCAAGCGATGCTGACGGTTAACTCCAAGGTCAGCGGTTAAAACCCACACGCAGCTTTGCAGGAGGAGGAGGAGGCTGTTTGCTCTTGGAAAGGTTTACAGCCTCAGACATTCTCCCGAAGGTCACCATGCATCAGAAATGAGTTCACGGACATCGGTCTGGTGTGTGTGTGAGTGGCTGCTGGGAGACGCCCTCAAGTTGGCGCCAACTCACAGCGACCCTCCGCGCAGCAGCATGAACGCCTGTGCCATCCTGTGCTGTGGCTTCCATGGTTGCAGCCGCTGTGCCAATTCATCTCCTTGAGTGGCCTCCTCCGTTTCACTGCCCATCCGCCTTACCCAGCACAGTGTTCTTCACCAGGGACGGTCTCTCCTACCCGGGACCAAGTCTCACTGCCTCACTTCGAAGGTAAACTTTCTCCAGGGCAGATTGGTCGGTTCTAGTGGCAATCCGTGGTGCTTTCAGTATTCTTTGCGGGCACCATCATTCCAATCCATCAATTCTTCTCCGCTCCTCCTTATTCATGGTCCAGCTGTCTTATGCAGCCCAGGGGGTTGACAATACCCTCGTTTGGATCAAGCGTCCCTTAGCCCTCAAAGTAACCTCTCTCATCCTTTAAGAGGCCGTGTGCAGCAGACGTACCCCAGGCAATATGTCATTTCATGTCTTGGCTGATTGTTGTTCCAGGTAAAATGAGCTCCTTGACAACTTTCATCGTTGCTCTGCTTAGTGTGGTGTGGTCTACTGGTCCAGCTGTGAGGACTTGTTTTCTTTTCATTGAGTTGCCATTCACACGGAAGGTTGCAGGCCTTGACCTTCATCAGCAAGTGCTCCAAGTCCTCCTCACGTTCAGCAAGCAAGATGTGCCATCTGCGTATATCGCAGGCTGTTTACAAGCTTTCCTCCAGTTCTGAGGCCGTATCTCTCTTCACATAGTCCACTTTCTCAGACTATTTGCTCTGCACACAGAACAAATGAACATGGTGAAAGGATACAATCCTGACGAGCACCTTTTCTGATTTTAAACCAATATATCCCCTCAGCCTGTTCAAATGCCTGCCTCTTGACCTATGCACAGGGTTCCTATGAGAACAATGAAGTGTTCTGGAATTCCCATTCGTCACAATATTATCCACAGGTTGTTATGATCGCCACAGTTGGATGTTCTCACTGTGTTAATAAAACACAAACAAGCATCTTTCTGATCCTCTCTTCTTTAAGCCAAGATCTCTAAGACATCGGCAATGATGTTCCTGGTTCCACATGCTTTTCTCAAGCCAGGTTGAATTCCTGACAGCTCCCTGCTGATGCACTGCTGCCAGAATGGTCGCTGGATCCTCAGCAAAATGCCACGTGCGTGTGGAATCAATGACGTTGTCTGGCACTTCTGCATTCCGTTGGATCATTTTTCTTAAAAAAACCAGTTTTTTTAAGGATCATTTTTCTTAAAAAAAAACAGGTCTCTCCTGATAATGTACCTAAAGGATATGAGCCGAAGACTCACCATACTTGCTTCTAAAGAGCATTCTGGTAGTACTTCTTCCAACACAGATTCATTTGTTTGTTTTTTGGCAGTCCATGGTACTTTCAAGATTCGTTGCCAGCGCCAAAATTCAAATGCATCAATTCTTCTTCGGGCTCTCTTCTTCAATGTCCAACTTTCACGTGGGGTAGGATCCTATTCCTTTAAAGGTAGGGCAATTCGACAATAGTCATTGTGTTTGATATATTAGAAACCATTAGGCGACATATTATGTTCATACATGAAAAACCCCTTTCCACTTCTGCTGAACTTACAGCAATTGGTCTGAGAATAATTTTAGTTCTTTGAACACTTTCAGGAATTTCATAATTAATTCATAATACCTTGTGGAAATTTGGGGCATAACACAAAGTTGAAACTAATGACAGTGTGTCACCCTCTGGTTTTTGACACTTTTTCTCTTGATGTTATATGTTTGCTTACTGAAGTCCAAA